ATGCCGATTTGGGCGCCCCAAATCATTCCCGCTGTCGGGTGATTGCTGTGGCAAAGGTCGATAAAAATAGCTGAGAGACAGGCGAAACGAAAGACCCGCACATGGTGTGGTGGTGAATGCGTTACTCCCCGGAAAGGACAATAACGCGTTCGTTTCCCACCATAGACACCTGCGGTCCAGAGTTTTGCAAATATCTCAGCAACGTTGTGGTTATGTCAATACACTCGAAAGACCGACTTTCTATGAACCTCGGCATAGATAGTTGATATATTTATTTACGTGATCTTATAAACTGATCTTCTTAAGCTGACGCGAGGTTGGTAGAGATCTTCGCTGTCGTTGTTTTTGATGTTATTGAACGATGGATGACGTTTCGGCGACTTCGCCTTCCTCAGAGCAGTGATGTTACGTGAGATCTCTACCAACCTCGCGTCAGCTTAAGAAGATCAGTTTATAAGATCACATAAATAAATATGACAACACAGTTCTTAAGAATTCGACGCTGAGCTGTCCGCCACATTAATCATTGCATAGTTGCCTTCAAACATGCGGTGGACATAAAGGAACTAAGCCATTTATTTGGAACAGTAACTGAATCGGCGACGTCGACAAGACATCTAGGCAATCGTGATCTTTGCAATCGTGAGCGCCATGGATAATAATCCATAACAAATCGATGTCGTTGTTTTCTCAGGGTTACATGGTCCTAGCACTACAGTTCTGATGAAGGATGGCAGTTCTTGAAATTTGCATCTTGCGTAGCCTGTTTCATTCCTTATCATTCTTCAGTTGTTTCTGCTTTGCTAGATTGACCACCATTCTTTAACAAAAATAAAGCTTAGGAAAACTCGCAATAAACATTACGTGCAACAGTAACGCCATATTACCGTTCTGTAAAATCATGAGACTTTTAATGTACATTAAAAAATCGGGATTCGTGGAATCAAACCGTTGCCTGTAGATAATGCGAATGAGTCTATGTGTGGAAAACAATCAGATGTGTCATAATATTGCTATCACTGAGTGCTTCTATCATCCACGAATGTCTTTGGACCTGCGTATGTGTTAGGATGCTTCTGGAGCTCGAGGACTTTTTTTTCACCATGAATTCTAATTGAGCTGACACTTCCTGGATTTCGAGTTGGTGGGAAGGAATGTTTGCCTGGGGTGGTGAAGAAACGGCGACGTCAGGTATACTTTCACGCAGAGATATCTGCAAACTCCAAACCGCTAGTGTCTGCGGTTGGGATCGAACACCCTATTACCCTTTCCGGGCGTTCACCACCACACAGTGCGGGGTCTTCGTTTCACCTTTACCTCAGGTTATTTTATACTCATTTCCACACGATTTTAAGTCAACACGTGCTCTTTTTCAGACTACGAGACAGTTGGTTGAATCGTCATTGCGGACNAATCGTCATTGCGGACGTGATTATAGTCATTATGTACTTACGCTTCGATTGCCAGTGTTTATGCTACACTTATTTCCCAGATAACATTCAATAGTGTTGTGCATGTTTATGCCCGATTGGTTAGAAATGACTACCTTTTTCAGATACCACACAAAGAAAGGGTTTATGCTATGCTATATATTTATTCGTTTTTTGACTATGTGGTGACTATAAACCTTATTCTGCTCTTCAAAAACTATTGTTATTTGGATCAGAAGTATGGCGCTAAGAGTTCGATTCAAGTCGATCCTAAATGAGTTCGTGAAAAATCGTGGTGTTTACCCGGAAAGCGTTTTAATTACAAGTGAAACAGTGACTGTCAAAGTCAATGTGGAATGGCAAATGTTGCGCTTTCACTGATTTGCGGCAGTTTGGAGCTCTTTAGGTATAGAACGATTTGCTCATTGAAGAAAAACAGCGAATTATCGATCATTGCCGAGGTCAATGGAAAGTCGGTCCTGGACATTTTTAGATATTCGAAGAGGAATCCACCCGTTATCGATTACACCAATTCTTTGTTGTCAACGTTGTACCAACTTATTCGTAAAGCCCATTATCTTACATCTCTATAGAATTTCTACAAAATTTCACTGCACCCCCAGCATGGCAAGAAAAAACTCGCCCATTAGCGAACTTTCCGGTGGCGGCGTTTAAATTTACTCTCCTTCGTTGCGTCTTCAGAAGTTTCCTTCTTTTCGCTGGTTCTGTTAAAAGTGACTTTTCAGTTGTTTTTTTCAGCTAAAACTCTTTTGTAGTCATGTGAGATGCGTTGCAATTGGAAAGGCGTTCAATTTTTCTATTTTTTTTTAAGTTACTTCAAAAATTTCGACGCGCACAAGTTTTTTCCCGTTTCAAGCTCGACATAAATCCAGAAGTTGCTTACATCAACGTTTTTGCGCAATGTCTTCCATTATTGAGCGCTTTAAGAGAAGGAGACGAGGCTGTGTTGCTGGCTAGTAGATGTCCGTGCTTTTCTGCAATCCCAGGCTGTTCCTTAAACAACGGAACGCTCAGTGAGATTTGACCACCTGCATAATTCTCTACCATCCCTATTTTATGGAATGGCATCACTGTTTCAAACATTCATTTCATATAGAAAACATTCTTCACGAACATTGGAATGTTCTGAACGTAAAACGTTTCGAATACTATTTCCGTCGAACTTTTTCCTACGACGATCTGTTGACCTTATGTCAAACATTTCGAATACTGTTTCCGATGACGATCCGATAACTTCATGTCTAACATTTCGTTGGCGGTTATCTCATGAAAAATAACTGCAGTGACAGTCCTATGCTTTGACTATCGCCTTATCAGATTGCAATGCTTGAGAAATGTTTCCAACACCCGTCTTTCCGCATACTGTAGCCCGACCCCGCCTACTGGTGCCTGACTCCATCGAGCCGAAAAGGTATATAAACGGCACCACGGTTAGCTGGCTCAGTTCACAGCAAGGATGCCTAAGTCACTATGTCTTTTCCTCACATCCATCTCATGTAGTAGAAGTCATATGACAACCTCTTCACTCATAAGCACATAATAATCGAGCTCACATAATCGCCTGTCTTTCCTGTAGTCCCGTTGATTGTCGAGTGACTCGAGCGAGTGCCAGTAAACCTTCCACTTTTCCCTGTCGTGTCCAAAGGTTGTGCTCGCTGTAGGCACTCGTCGATCATCACATCTTTCTTCAAGACTCTTTGTGAAGAACTCCGACCATCGAGTCGGTGGTCTTTCTGCAGTGCTTTTAACACCACAGGAATCCAGTCGCTAACAGTATACTTATCGGCCATAGGTTGTTACTCATATTTTATTTCTATTTAAAGTGTTCCCATGATGTTGTTGAAGGTGGCGGTAAATAATTTTGCGAGATGGCGTCGCCGTGCTTAAGCATTCTTTAAATGTCAATATTACCATCTTTGTATAGTGGTGATATTTTGGCTGTGAAATTTTTAAGAAGCTCATAAAGAATCTCTACGTTCTGAGCAAAAACGCCTTGGATGTACAGGGCTTCCGTGACCCTCTCTGTATCAGCTGAGTCAGAAGCCTTTTTAACTCGATTCGTTGGGTACTGTAAATGCTTTTTCCCAGCTTCTGCAGCTTAAACTATTACTGCTGCTCTTCTGTCCTTAAGATCTTTCTTTATCGAATGTCTACTTCGTTTTGCAAGTTCGGACGTTAGTTCGCGGTTGCCTGCAGCTCGTGCAATTCCACGTTGGCGTATCAGCTCGCGTGTTTCTAAAAACGGGCGTCTCTTGGTGACTTTAGAACTCTCTGCTTTCATAGCGCCAACGTGAAGATGTTGAATAAACCCATTGCATTTTTCGTCAGTGTTATAAACAACAACATTTTTCTAACAGCGAACTATTGAATTGAATAAGCTCCAGATCATGGTGGTTTTGAGACTTCGGTTTTTGAATTTAATGCCTTTTTCTCCTTTTCACGAAAAATAAAATCTTGGGCGAAGAAGGCGATGGTCTGATCCCGTGTAGAATTTTGGGGCAACAGCGACGTCGGTTAGGCAAAACCTTTTATTCACTATGATGTGGTCTGTTTCGTTATGGTACTCCCCACTGGGATACCCCCACGAACAGCGTTGAGGGCCTTTAGGAATTGCGACTTACCATGGATGGTTTTGGTCGCCATGGTAAATTCAAACAGCCGCTCATTTTGCTTTTTCCATTCTAATCCGTAGGTCACAATACGACGTTCTCCACACGTTCTTTTTTGCCCAATCTTAAAAGTCATAGTTTCAAAGCGGTAAGTAAACGACGAGTATTGTAAGCCGATATTGATCCACATTTCTTCAATCGTGGACGCTCAATTCGGGCTGTTAGTTGATCGAATGAGCAGTCTTCATCGCCGAACTCGTGTCGATGAGAATGCCGATGCAACCGACTCTTCTACTGTCGCATGTTCCGAGGAACATTTTACTCCGCTGTCATAGTCGGCGTTGAATGAATGGAGTCTCTTCGTCTTCGCCAGTCCGATGACTTCCTACCTTACCCTTCTCGCTTGCACGATCAAATCTGTATCGATTAATCGGAGGCAAGCGTGCGTGCGCTGTGGGCACAGATCGTCGCTCTAGACCTTTCAGGTTTATGCAACCTATTCCTTAAGAAAAGCGTTAGCGCAGTAGCTGGATACTTCCTGCGAAACCCATGGGATCGAGCTCACTCTCCGGTTTCAGAAAACATTAAACCGCTCTGGGGTCAACAAACTACTACCCAACTTATGTAGGACGACAGCAAGACATTAACCAGGCAAAACCTGCTTACTATGATGTGGTTTATTTTGTTGTGGCACTCTCCATTGGAGGAATTCCACATCCAGCGTTAAGCGTAGGGCTTCAGGAATTGCGATTTACCAAGGAATGGTCTTGGTCGCCATAATTAACTCGGACAGCCGCTCAACCTGTTCGCTTCACTCTAATTCGTGAGTCTCAGTGTGACGTTCTTCAAGCGTTCTTTTCGTTCCAGTCTTAGCATTAAAATTTTTAATGATTACGTTGAAGAATGTATGGTCTTTTCTGTTAAACTTCTCCAAGTCCATTTAGAACGCTTCGACTTCTTCTACGACGTAGTTTGATATCGGCTCGCAAACGACGAAGATTGTCAAAGCGGCTATTGTTCCACATCTCTTCAATCGAAAAAACCTAATTCGTGTTGTAAGTTGTGCGAATGAATCCATGTTCATAAACAAATTCGTGTTAACGCGAACTCCGACGCCATCGACTCTTCTACTGTGGCATGTTCCGCGAAACAGTTCTGCTGCCGTGTCATAGACGGCGTTGAATGAGTAGCGACGCCTTATCTCGGCCAGGCCGATGACGTCGTACTTCATTTTTCTTGCTTGCATGAGCAAGTCTTCTATCGAATCAGATAAATTGTACCCAAACTCATGCAGTCACCGTCTCTACTATTAGGGCAAATTATGCAATTTTGGGTTGCACATGGACGGTCATGTAGGCGGTTACGAACTAGCTGGCGCCTAAGAGTATTCGATGGCTTCTCAACTATGTTTACCAAATTCTCTAGACCCGCCCTTCTTAAGCAGCTCTCTCCGATGTGATCGATCAGACTTCAAGAAAATTGTTAATCACTGTGTGAAAAAAGACTCGCCCAACTCTCAGTCTTTGACTGACTGACTCTCTCTTTCAGCCCTTTGGCAAACAAATTTCCCAACAAGCATTGGGTGTATTTCGGTATTTTCGTCTCTTGTCATGCTTTCGCCCGAACGCATTCAGCGTAGCGGTAGAGAGGGCTCGGCAATACACATTGGATCGAACCAGCGCTCCAGACTCACCAAACCCTCCATCTCTCCGGAATCGGCAATAAGGTACCGGTCGTGTCTGAGAGGGTAGCAGCACTAACTCGATGTATCGGCAAGCCACCGCGTTTCACTGTGTAGGCCAGATATTCATTCAGTCACTTCCAACGGTGCTAAATGAAGTGGAATCCATGGCGCATCCCTCAGAGAATGCTCAATGGCGCCAAGAGTTTCATCCATTTTTTAAAAAATATCCTTGCATTCCATATGACAGTTATGATTGATCAAACCGATTAGGAAAAAAAAATAACCAATTATAGCTCAAAGAAGTCGAGTTCAAACGGGTGAACTAGGTGGAAAGTGGAATGATTGGACTTTGCTGCTCAATATTCATCGAGAGTAAACGAGAATGAACTAAAGACGCTAATTACAGTGAGAAATCTGCTGTATTATCTATCCATTATTCTGAGGAAAATGAATACGACTAAGATGACAAAGACGTTGATGAGGATGAGGTCAGCGGTAGTTAGTCATAAAACTGTGAGTTGCCTTAGGTCAATGATGGCAACCAATTTGGAATGGATCACGTTGTGGATTATTGGAGTTGTGAACTATCCTGCTAACGGAGAGTGCTATTGGTTCTAAAACAATGACAAAAGATGTACTTAAAAAGCCGTTGGCTCAGCATTATTTGACCGACAATGCTTGTCGATGCTCATAATGGGTAAAACAAGTTCTACAAAACCGGACCACTTAGGCAACCTATTAAAGGAAATTTTGAGACTTTAGACGTCACGGTTGGGCGTAAACGTGTTCGTGTGCGTGTGCTTGTGTTGCCTAGAAATTAGCGAAGTGAAGCGTCCACTTGGTTTGCACCAACAGAATCAGAAGAAGAGACTTCCTCAGGCGTGGCCATTAAAGCCGAGGTTCATAATCGAAACATAAAGGTTCAAAAATGAACACCCTAAAAAATCGTAACATGGTAATGTAACCATCTAATGAATACGCAGTGTTACTTCATACTTGGATACCTGAGCAATTGGAGACCCCGTCTTCACTGATTGTGCGGGTTTTAGCATAATTTCTATTTTTTCAGAGTTTTGCTGGTCTAGACACCGTGGTTATCTGGAGTCCTGATCTCAGCCTAGCTAAAGTGTGTCCCAGGTCGTGACTACCATAAGTCGCCGCCCATGTGGATCAGAGCGAGATCTGCCATCAAGCGACTAATTTGTTACCAGCACGGTGGTGCATCTTGGTACTGGTTAACTCTTAGCTGGGCTTATGATGGAAATGCCTGATTCTTTCTCAGCCTGAGAGGTTATGCTGAAGGACGAATCCTTTTGTTGTACAACGTAGCCCGACTCCCAGGAGCACTTCCCAGCCACGATGAGGGGTTAATATCTCTCATTTCAGTTTTTTAAGTACTAAAGCATTAAGTATTAAAGTTTTAATCACAATGTTATACCTTTTTATTTACTGCTTACTATAGTTTTGCGGCAGGGTACTAAGCGAAATACAATCACAACGTTCTTGAGATATTTGGAAAACTCTGGACCGCAGGTGTCTATGGTGGGGAACGAACGCGGTATTGTCCTTTCCGGGGAGTAACGCGTTCACCACCACACCATGCGGGTCCTTCGTTTCGCCTGTCTCTCAGCTATTTCTGTCGATCTTTGCCACAGCAATCACACGTCGGCGGGATTAATCTGGGGCGCTCAAATCGGCGTAGAACCCAGTTAAGCTGCAGCTGTAGGAAATGACAATAGCGCGTTCGTTTCCCACCATAGACACCTGCAGTCCAGAGTTTTGCAAATATCTCAGCAACGTTGTAGTTGTATTAAAGTTTTAGTTTTTTTTAAGTATTTTTTAGTTTTTTTCAATAAGTTTTTTAAGTAATAAATTTAACAGATTCTGGCAATAATGATAGCATTATTTTCGATAACTTATTTATGCTTTTAGACCTCCTTGGGACATTCTATCGGCTAATTAAAAAGTTTGCATTACATTCCTAGATTATTAAGCTAACACGAGGTTGATAAAAAGGTTTATTTTATTTGGCAAATTCGATAACTTCGGCTTCCTTGCAGCCGACCATCCGAGTCCATAGTCCACAGTCTTTCGTTCTGTCGATGTAGTGTCTTTGTCGTTGTATCGAATCAAATTTTCTTCAGTGGAGCCCCACTTGGATGAGGTAACCCCACCAGGTGGCGCTCTTCTGAACAGGTTGGTTGTTGTTGACACTTATTGAGCGTTGATAATAATTTGTTTTTCAACGGACAATCCATCTTGCAGCAGTCGATATTAGAATACTTAGAACAAGGAGAATACTTTTCAGTTATCGTCTGTGGATGCTCGCTTTATGATCATCATACAATACGAACATCAATGAAAAATTCGAGCTTACCTTCTTCATCGCTGTGTAATAGTTCATGTTGGCATGTAATCCCAGTTATGGTTTGGGCATTGTGAATTTTCTAGGGTTTCAGAAGAATCAGTAGATCTGGCCTCCTTCCTTCATTGTATGATTATATCTATGAACCAGAAAAGCGAATAAAAACAGTGTGATCAGAATTCTACATAAGGTTCTCGACGACACACTTAGAAAACAACATGAGACCTGTGTATTGGGGAAAGTACTACTTTAAAACTGCATTGGACACTCGTGTTCCCGGCCTATGCTATCACTTACCTCAATCCACTGCTACGCGTTACGATTTTGCTTAGAATGCGAAGAATTTCGCTTTTATTTTATTATTTACCAAAGACGAGAAGGTTAGCTGCCGGGTTCTAAAACCAGTTCAGTGTCCATAACTTAGCTAATGAGTTAATCTAGCAATTTATAGAATTATGCGATGAGCAATCTCTACCACGTCGGTCTTCGATCCTACAGAAATTAGCATTTTATGCTGGGATTGTTGAAAATAGTTCGTATAAAATTTTTGCATTGACATAAGCATAGTTTTCAAGGCGACCGCCATTTGCCTCATTGGGAAAATAATCAGCATGCATTTGAATTGTTGAGTTTACACGAGGTTCATAAATAGATTTATTTCGGCTAACGTTTCAATGTCTTCGTCTTCATCAGAGCCGATGATCTATTTCGGTGGTCCACAGTTGTTCGATTGCTTGAAGTGGCGTCTTCGCTGTGGTACCGAGACGGGATCTTCTTAAGTGAACAACGAACGAATGAGCCATACTCACTCGACAGCGCTCATAGTCATGTTCTAGACTCTAATTTCAAATTACTTATTCCAAAGGAAGTTAACTAGTACAGTGAATAGTTTACAAATCTACGTCGCACGGTCATAACAGTACACTGCTGAATAGTATAAATTGCTTGTTGAGCAAACACGAGATGTTACTTTATTCTTCATTCCATTAAAGCAGACGTTTCGGGGTATTTCGTCTTTTTCAGAGTCTGGAAGGGTATATTGATAGGCAATTTACTGAGTCAAACGCTCCAACAACACATACGGAAAGCTGAAAATCTAAACCGTCACATGATCAACAACTTCTCGAAAAAAACCCACCGTTTATTACGTGCCTTCCACTAAGGAAGAGCAGCTGATCAGAGTCGCATATGGTCGATAAATGCACCACTCCACATCAAAAGTCGACGCGAAGGTACTGGGCCAGATCACGTGTGAACTCCTAGCATTCCTCCCTGCTGTTTATTTTAGGGTTCCTAGTATTTATCCAAAAATCCTCTAGAAGTTTGCGCGTTCGTGTTTTGGCATCCTGTGCGAGGATATTGACTTTTACATCGAAATGGTCTCAGCTATGCTTTCGTATCCAATGCGCGCCAAGTGGGGTACATTGTCTTGCTTTTCGTTTGCCATCTAGGTGTTCTTTTATGCGGATACACAAAGGTCTGCCCGTTTCGCCAATATATTCATCTCCGCAAGTACTGCAAGAGATCAGGTATATCGTACCTGAACTCATGCAATCACCGTCCTTGTCGTAATGGCAAATTTCGCTATAAGTTGTTTCATATAGACGGTCATACGAGCAGCTACGAACTAACTGACGGCGTAGCCGGTGGTATTTCAACTAACACTACCGATTCCTCTAGACATGCCCTTTTTAAGCATCGTTTTATAGCTACACCTACTTTATTGCTAATAAAGCGCAACATAAACAGGGCCTTCTTCTGGATAAGCGTTTTGTTTTGGCGCGTCGCTTTTCTTCTGAACTTATCTCATGCGGTTACTATTTCGTATTCATTGGGGATGGCTATTTACCGAGCCAAGTTGCGTCATTCTTCCCCTAGTTCCCTGGTTGTGCACACAAAGGTGGCTGTTCGAAATATGTTTCTCACAACTGCCCTCTTTATGAGTGAAGGGTGGAAGGAAAGGAAATAAACGAGGATATTGTTGTTAGTTGGTTTCGGTACCACTTTGTCATGTAGCCGTTATCCGATAAGTTGATCTGAACGTTAAGAAATGGAAACCGATGGTCTTATGCCTGCAACCCTTGTCACATTGATCCACTGATTATTTAGTTTTCGGTATTGACTTTTGTATTCCTTTTAGGAAGGTGGACGATAAAGGGTAACATCACTAAGATGTTGCTCC